TTTGTGTTAAGAGAAAAATGCATGAAAATATGTAGTAGTTTATCAGAATCGCTGTATTATTTTGTGTTACCCAATATTTCGTCCTAAGCCTTTTCGTATTTAACTGTATATACTATCGCTTATAATTATACAAAATCTGGATGAAATAGGAAAAAAGTGGATATTATTTTTGGATTCATTTTACACCTGATTCCGAGAAACCATCGTGAATAGTGTAAATCTGGAGATGGAGTAATGTTAATTTCTTGTCCAATGTGCTCTTGCAGTGTTCTTTCGGGCAATTAGTCAAGAACATCTTTTAAGGTCACTCTAGGTGCATATCAGTAGTCCCACGAAATAATCTGGCACTACGCCAAAAACTATTACGCAATTGCTTAATTATACGCCAAAATGTTTTTCGCTACATTTCAGTGTAGAAGAGTTGAAAAATTCTTAGGAAAAAAAAGATTTTTACAAGAGTATTAGGGAAAAAAAAGAGGCATTTTTAAATGATTATTTGCCTTTGAAAGTTTTTTTTCTCTATTGATGACAATTCTAAAAGCTTCTATGTATTTATGAACGAACGAATGTTTTGTTGTGGAATAATTGTGAATAGATCCCTAAGCAAACCTGAATTCTTAGCAAATAGAAAAATGAGCATTACCTAAATATCGATTCTTTCCTATAGGGATACCATTATCAACAGTTAATTTAACACTGTACTACAAATAGCATTGATAATTTTTCTCGGATGAAGCTCTGGAATAGGTCTAGTAATGTGTGAAGAGCAATAGGAAAAGTATAGCAACACTTCAGTGGTGTAACGGAGGTTATTAGCCCCCCTACAAAGTCAGGTTTTGGGAGCAAGCAGGATCTTACATAGGAATGCAAAACCATATGTACTTGGCGTCAGTCAAGCTTTTAGGCCCTTTAGAGTGCTGCCCCCCACCCCCAATGTGTTGGTATACGTTGCGCCACTGTTGCACTTCGAAGTAACACGTTTTTTCGATGTTGCGTGAATGTATAAAGTTATTAAATTATTTATATCTTTCAAGCAATAAGCGTTAGAATGCATTGAAAAACATTCAAAAAGCTTTCACCTCTTGATTTAAAAAGAACATGAAAAATTCTAATACAGAAGCATAAAATTATCCTTAACACCACCGTAAATCCCTCATCAGAGTGGATTTACGCAAAATCCTTTCTTAGTGGATTTCTACTCTTTTAAAGAATCACGCTTACCCGATTTCAAATATGTGAGTTCAAATGCGGAAATTCTTCTCTACACGTCATCTTAATCCCTTAACCCCCACTTGGCAGTTGATTTGAATAAGACCCCTTCGTAGTAGGTTTCTACTCAACATAAAAAACATGTTAACCAAATTTCAAATCTGTAGAAGTCTAATTGCTCAAAAACGAGAAATTTTGTCGTTAACGCCCCGCAACTTTTTTGGACATCCATTTTCGAAAAATCCTCTTTTAATTTATTTCTACTAAACAAAAGAAACGTGCTTGCCAAATTTCATGTCAATAGGTTCAATAGTTGAAAATGAGATTTTTTAAATTTTTAAACTCCCCCCCCCCCCTTTATTCCTTTGAGGTAGATTTCTGTTTAACCCGCTCTTAGTTTACCTCTACTCAACAAAAGAAACATGCTAGCAAAATTTCAAGTTTGTAACTGTAATAGATAAAAAGTGGAATTTTTATCAATAAGCCCTCTTAACCCCTAGCAACACACCTTGGAAGATGCTTTTCGCAAAACCCGTTCCTAGCGGATCTGTATTTAATAAAAGTAACATTTCAAGTCTGTAAGGAATCCGGAGATCTCATGATGAGTGAGTGACTCAGTGAGAAAGGGAGTAAGTGAGAGAGTTGGTAAATGGGCGAGTGATTCAATGAATGGTTTGTACATGGTATATATACAAATAAACAAGTAATATAAGAAAAATTAAGTCAATTCCTACTTAGGTCAACAAAAAAAAATTTTTTATTTTAGTTACTTTTTTATTAAATAATTACGATTAATATAAATATGACAGAATCACATTAAGTGACAAAATAGAAAGCGATTTTTCTTGTTATACATGGTGTTGGACTATTAATTTTGTGTTTGTTGTTATTTGTCCATTAATTAAGTTTAACTAAAATGAATTAATATTTGATAAAACTGTATTGACATCAAGTGTCGTCCACTACAAGTTTAAGAAATGTATTTGAGCTTGAATGGATGAATAGAAAGTATTTTATTAACGAGTGAAAATTTGAACAAGATATATATAGAGTGAGAGATTGTGAACTAATAGTATAGGAATTGAAAAAAATGAAGTAAAATATTATGAAATAAAAATCTTGTAGAAATTATTTAAACTTGATGAGAGACAGCAAGAAATTACCGAGAATTTTCGAATATATTATATAGAACTATTATATATATATATAGTTTTTAATAAGAAAAATTTTTCTCGCAAGTAGCGTGCTACTAAAACTTTGAGTTTCCTTTTCAGAAAAAAAATCTACCTAATTGCGCTGCGGATTTGATTTTCCCCCTATCTTTTAAAGCCAGTCTGTTTTGTTTTCTATTTATTGTGTCATCGCTTGTCATTCAAGAGGTACTTAAAGAAGTGTCACCTCCCCCTTGTACACACGCTTCTATGTTCTTTCTCCTCCGTGAGTGTTTGAAATCGTTCAATTTTCTCATTCTCAAAGGCTTCTCATACTCGCTGTGAAATTCTGCGTCTTTTGTGTGTTTACGATGCTTGTCAGCTAATTCATCATTTGGAAATTAGGTACACGTAATAACCTTTGAAGAAATCAAAAAGATTTTGCGTGATGTCGACTTGGGAGGTAGTTCTCTTTTTCCTTCCTTTTTTTTATATTTTATTTTTTATCCTAAGATTTTACACGCGAAATAAGAAAAAACTAGTACTTTTTGTTTTTACCCGATTTTATTTCTGTTTCCTGATAGGCCGTTTTCTGAAATTGTTTTCATTTCTGCACATTTTTTTTCTTTTCAATTTGTCAGAGAAATGAACGATATAAATTAAGGTTTAGCTTTGATTTGATCTTTTTAAAAAAATTAGAGATAGATTAGTGTCGGTTTCAAAGAAAAAATGTAGCCAAAAATGTATAGATGCCGCTATTGGAATGGAATGGTTTTTAGTAACAAAATTAAGTTAAATTTATATTGAATTGTTTTACTCTAGCACGATATTCTAATGTATCTATTTCTATTTTTTCAACTGCATGTAGTTTAAAACGTGTATTTTATTTACCATAAAATCCGGCGCATATGTTGAGCGGTGTATATGTCCAGCGTGTATGTTCAGGACTATACTTTAAAGCAGCATTTTTTATGTTTTTGCTATACTTGGAGTATAACGCGTACCCCCTTTTGTACGAAGAAACCTGAAGTGTACGTGTCCAATGCTCTTATGTTTTAAAGTCAATTATTCGACGTATTTTTCCAGACTTTTGAAAAAATAGTATACTACCAGAGCTACAATTCTTTTAGTTCATAAAGCATTTCTTTTGAATAAATAGTATTTCGATACGTGTAGAAGTAATTCTTTTATGCAGATCTATTTTTTATGTTTAAAGCTATCGCTTTATACCCGGCGTATATTACACGCCCTCAAATTTCGATCTTATTTTTTGTGATAAAATTGCGCGTTATAAGCTGGATTTTGCGATCTACAAATTGAGGAAGAAAATAATATAACAAATAAAAATAAAGGCAGCCACTTAGAAATTACAATTTCTATAATTTCCTAGTGATATAAGGATTTAAAATCCAAAGCAGAAAATTGAACTTGAGCGTATTAGAATATTAGTTTAGATATAGAGCATATTAGAATGTCGAAGTTCATGAAAAGAGATAAATATATCCTTAAAAAGAAAAATTTGATTTATTTTCCATTGCGAGTAAGAACTTGTATAAATTTCAAATGGACATTACGGAGTGCATTAATTATCTTGTGTGTCAGCAATACGGAAAATTTTAATCTCTAATTCAGTTTGATGGGAAAACTGTTACAACTCAGCGAAATAGGGTTTTCCACGCTCTCATGTTGGGGGAAACCCTGTTAGTAAATGTGTCAGAGTACACTTCGTACACGTATTTAGGAAACTACACATTTGCTTCGTAATATGTATAAATGTGAATTTTACAGGTCGAACGGTGTATATTAGATCGGTATATATGAACTGTCGCAATTTTAACTGATTATATAGAACTGTGTATCTTTTTCGAAAGTTTTTTATTTAAACAAAATATGCTCCATTTGCTTCAATATACCTTTCCCAACGAGATTTTAATGCATAGATGCAGTTGCGCACACAAGGGGGGTGACCTGGGGGTCCGGACCCCCCCCCAAAGCCCTTGATTTTTTTTCGACTGATTATAATTCTGAGCATATAGTACGTAAAATTTAGTTAAGTATTTGTTATTAATGATTAATTTTATTAATTAATGCTAATTATTTATTTATTCAATAATTAGTTTTTAACTGTGTTTTGTTCCCGAAAATCGACAAAATCAAAAGGAGCATGATACAAGAATGGTAAACTTTTGACCCCGGACCCCCCTCCCCTTTAAAAATTCCTATGTGCGCTACTGCATAGATGCCATGCTGTAAAAACTCTAAGCTTCAGAATCAGTAACCTCTGGTATGAATTTTTTTGCCCGTCTTCATTTTATACCGTTTAATACGTAAAAATGTTTTAAATTTTTTTTAATAAAAGTAATATCAAAAAAATTCTGCATGTCAGTTCCTACTTAGATCAGGAAAGAAAAATTTTATTTTAGTTACTGTTCATTAAATAGTTACAGTTAATTTAAATATGTATATACATAGGACAGAATCACACTATTAAGTGACAAAATAGAAAGCGATTTTCCATTTTCCTTTCTATATATGGTGTTGGGCTATTTTTTTCTGTTTGTTAATATTTACTCATTATTTAAAATTAATTATTTCAATAAAATGGTATAGTAAAAAAAATCATATTCTCAGAAATTCGGCCATCCCAGGTGGGATTCAAACCTTTGGAAGAAGTCCAACGCGCTATCCATTGCACTACAGGGACACAACGAGCGATTTTCCTTTTTACATATATTGTGTTGGACTATTATTTTTATTTGCTACTAATTATCCATTAATTAAGTTTAACATCTGAATTAATATTTGAAAAAAACTGTATTAGCATCAAGTGTCAGCCACTACAAGTTAAAAAAATGTATTTGATCTTGAATGGATGAATAAAAAGTATTTTATAAACGATTGAAAATTTAAACAAGATATACGTAAAAAGAGAAGCTCAGTAGCCGAGTGATTAGAGTATCGCGCTTCCACACCACAGGTCCGGGGATCTATTCTCGGGCTAGGCAAGAACGACTCGGCCTTTCGTCCCTTCAGTGGGTCAATAAATGAGTACCGAGCTTGCTTGACCACCTGATCGGGACATCTGCTTATGCACCTCAGCACCTAATGGTCACGTATATTAAGGAGGGCATAGTATAGGCTTTGGTCCTCATGGGCTGCTTCACTACTGTGTTTAGTTTTACTATATATGTATATATATAGGGAGAAAATGTGAACTAATAGTAGTAACTGAAAAAATGAAAGCCGCTTGGCGAATGATCCGGTCAATAAACAGTGTGCTGCAAAATTTCATATTTCAATTCACTTAGCTTCGTAATTGTTTTGTATGACGTTTCCGGCCGAGTGTTGTCGTTAATTGTCATGGTCCATGCCAATTAACAAGTGATGGGCTTACAGTTTTCAATTTTTCATGCTTTTCATCAATGTACTGGCAATATAATTTATACAGTTGGTTTCGTTTCTACCAATGTTTTCAGAGCATCATATTTCACAGACGTTTCGGGTCTTCCCCATGGTTTATTTTGTAAGGAAAATTCCCCAGACCGAAATTTTTCAAACCCTGGCTGCACTGTTTGATCGTTAACAATATTCTCCCCAAATGCCTGGTTTACATTGAGCACAGCGTTTGTAGCATTATTATCTTTATACTATCTTTAAAAAATTACACGAATACAAGTTGAATTCATATATCCTTACGAAATTCAAAGCAAATAACAAAATGGAACCCCTTTTAAGAAAATCTACCTAGTTGAAATGTGACTCTGGCAATGGGCAATACGACTAAAAATGACAAAAACAAAAACGTAACAAAAACAGTAAGACTAACGTTCTCATGTAAAGAACATCCAACATTTCCTATGCACCAACTTAATACAATATTTCAATAAATAATAAAACAGTAAAATAATATTAAAAAACATTCAAGCTCTTTGATAAATTAGTGAAATAAGTGTAACGAGAGTTCTAAACACCAAAATAAATAAAATAGTAAAATAATTGTTCATTTATATTCATTTTAGTATCAATTCCTCGAAGCCCAGTATTGAAATCCAAACAAATTTACATCCACTGTTACTTTCATTACAAAAAAATAAGTAAAATAAACGAACATAAGCCCATCCCTCCTCTTTTGTATTGCAAAATAATACCCATTCAGGTCACATGACTCTCCTCCTTCACCGAGAATGAACCACACCGCACGACTTCTGTAACATACAGCATCCAAAAACAGGCAAGTAATCACTTAATGACAATGCATTGCCCGTCCATTAACTCGAGCATTTACATTTCCCCAACAAATAAAAATAATAAAAATACACACTAGCAGTAACCATAGGTAGGGGAAAAAAACTACAATTATTTCCACTCTTTCAAATAGGACACAAAGAATAGCACAAAGCTAAAAAAAAAAAGTGCCCAATATTTGTTGTCACATTCACACAAGGGCCTTAATGAGGGGGGAAACAAAGAAAAGTTCTATAGAATCCAGTTGAACAAATGACATTTGGACATCATTTATAAAAGTCACTTTATACACCATCTCCAGTTATGAAACGTATAATAGACTTTGGTGCAATCATTATCTTCAAAATACGCGTCGTCTTTAACTTTAACAGCAGATGTATAGATTAAAGCAGAAGAGCTCACCATATATATGCCTCAATGGCTTACTATTCCACTAATATGTCTGTATCACGAACTCTATCTCACTATATACAGAACCCACTGCAGAAAAATCTTTTTTATTTTATTTTTATGTGTCTTTTTAATGGTGGATAAAAACTGCAATTGGTGAGCACAAACAAACGTTGGGGGAAGTGGGCAGAACTCGTAATTTTGTTACATTCATGGTCTTTTTTTTTATTTCTCTTGTCTTCCTTTCTTTTTTAAAAGTATATATTTGATCTGTGAGGTGTGTGAGGATGTTACGAGCTGGTGCGGAAGCTATTGAAGTAAAATGTTATGGTTTAGGAATAAACGCCAATCTATTTTGCTACAGAGAAACCCAGCGGGATGGTTATTGAGCGATTTGCTTGGTTTGTCGGTGAGCTTCGTCTGAAATTATTGGAATCATTGGAAAGAACAAAAATAACTGTGATTTGTTTTATCTTTTTATTTCCTGGTAACTATTTTTAAGGCTATGGATTTGACAGGGCAATTCCATAATTTAATGCTCTTGAGTGTAAGTTTTTTTTTTTTTTTTAAAAAAGCAACTGAATTTTTTTTGTGTCGTTAACTTTCGCATTCCTTCTATTTTTTTTTTTTTTCATTTTTTTTTAAGAATTATTTTTCTAATTTCATTTTGTTTACGTCTGGAATTTCGTCTGGAATCCTACATTTAATTTACTTCAACCTCTGAAGTAATACGAGGACAATGGGCTTTCATGTGACGTCATTAGTCACATGATAACTACCATCACGTGTTTTCAGCCAACCAATAGGCTCAATTCATGACGGTCATATAATAAAGACAAACACGTGTTCTCCATTGCATTCAAAACAGATATCAAACTAATTGTACTTGTTGCTCTATTTGTAAAACTTGGGTAAAATTTCGATTGTAAAAATGTTCAAATGTTATAAAAATAAATTTCTTCAAAAGATTTTAAAATTTAGAAAAGAAAAATCTCAATTTATGCATGTACTTCCAAATAAAATGTATTTTATCTACTTATGTGCATTATTGTTGTTGACAAATTTGTATTTTTTAAGAGAAAGTTTCTGAAAAGTTTAAAAGTTGGCAACAACGAAACGCATGCGCTTATTAGCTGGAAACACATGATTACTTGTATTGTGACTATGACGTCCCATGAGTTTGTTAACTGATTGGCTAAAAACACGTGGTTAGCACTATCATGTGACTATGACGTCGCATGAATTGAACCCATTCATAAATTCTTGTGACGTTATTGGCAAAAATGATAAATGTAATTATATATTTCCAGATAATTAATTCATGAGCTTCGTTGCTACCAACTTTTGCTTTTTACAGAAACATCCTGTTGGATATCAATATTAACGCATATAAAGAAGCAAAATGCACTTAATTTAAAAATACACGAATAATATAAGATTTTTTTTTATTTTGAAAATTTTTGTGAAGAATCTTAATGTTTATAAACATTTTAGCCCAATTATCAAAATCTGAAATTTTAATTAAACTGTGCAGGTAGGACAACACGCACAAGTATAATGCCATTTTCTGTTTTAATGAAGAACATGGTACTGCATTTATCATGTGATCCCCAAGAATTTAACCCACTGGAGACGGAACTCGTAATTTTGAGTCATTGCCAAGTGAAGAAGACACCCCTCATTTAGCATCCCCTCTCCAAACTTCCACAATGTGTTATTGGAAGGACTTAGAACCTCGACAAATTTAACGGGCATCAACCCCTATACTCGGAGTTTCTTCGCTGGCACTAGGTTTCGAACAGTGGAACGACAGCGTCAACCACAAGGCCTCGACCATGACCATTTGGACCTTGTCACTTGACCATGGTTTAAAATTACGAGGTCCGTCGCCAAAAGCCCTCGTGTAGCTGAACTGTGCGACGTTAATATTCACTCATTCATTCATGACCATTTGGATAACGTGGCCTGAAATTTTGTTAAAAACTTCCATATAAAACCTCTTTCTCACTTTAAAATAAATTTTACTTATTTAATTAGTTATAACTAGGTAGACTTTTAATCTAGTACAAATTTTTTGTACAAAGGTGGATGAACGATTTAACATTGTGTACAGATCTTAATTCTAAATCAGTGTGTACAGAACACATACATTTCCATAAAGCATTAAACAAAATTGCAAACAAATTTTTTTTTCAGTATATTTGTGAGAATAAGTGATAATTTATTATGATAAGAGACCTGAATCAATTTTTAATGCACAAATAATACCGCATCATTTGTTTTTATATTTAGGATATAATTTAACATTCTCAATTATGACAAAATGGTATGTCCATTCTATTGTTTTAGGTTTGATTGATTATAACCTTGGAGAATATCATTTTTATCATTTTTATCTTAAAATACAACTAATTAAGATTAAGAAAATTCATATTCATATCTTTCCTGCCCAGTACCAAACTTCACTGAACGAGCGTGTATTTATTAACACCACGCTCTTAAGCAATACGAAGGCTATTGGCGATGGACCTCATACTTTTAAACATTGGTCAAGTGACGAAGACGACACCTGAACTGGCAATATACTCTCCTAATTTAAGCAACACGCCAACATTCAGACTTCAGAATATTGTGCCTAGAAGAGGGTGGTAGTTGTGTCGGATGTCATCTGTGTCATTCTAACATGATTCAGAATAACAAAGTCTGTTGCTAACAAGTCTCTTGTAGCTATAGAGCAATGTTAATTCAAATCAACTGAACTATTTCCATAAAACAATTTTATGGATGATTGATAGTTATATTGACGTCGCACTATAAAGCACCACCAGGGTTATTTGCGATTGAACTCGCAACGTTGAACCTCGGTCAAGTGACGAGGACGCCGCCGGTGAGCTGGCACCACCCACTTTTTCTACCGTACCAAAAGCATGGGCATTGAACCTTTTCTTTTACACGTTGAGTCTTCAGTGGCATCAGAACTAGAGCCCGTGACACTCCAGACACGAGTTCGGAACCATAACCACTAGGCTACCGTCACCCCACAGTAATTATGGGATTAAAGCACATAAA